TAAGTCCAAAAATATAACATCTATTTGTATATTATAATTAAATGATTTGGCTAAGTCGAGACACTTTGTTTCTTATGCTAGTGCCCTTGGCGAGTTGGGACTGGAAACCGTGTCGGGTTGCAGGGGTGCACTATGTGCTGAATTTGCTAAAAGTCCTTATCTCTTTAAGATTCAATACATGGTTTCCTATATCTAAAAGTAGTACTTCACTCTCTCTTAAAAAATCGAATAAATTCCAACATCATAATTCTAAGACAAAGAGATTTAAAAATAACCCAATCCCATATTTAACCAAATTACTTAAAAATAATAATCATTGCTTGTATTGCAAACATTTAATTTAAAACTCTTCAGCATTGTGTATCCTTTGTTCATCCATTTCCTTTTTTTTATTTATTTAATTTTGTACTGATGATAAGTTATTACATTAACATAAGGGAAGAGGAAGTCAAATATTATGTCGCTGTAACTGCGGTTAGTAGGCCTACATTTTCCTTTATAAGTCCAACCTTTGTATTACGGTACTACTCAAGTAATGGGTCAAATTACAAGTTGGTTTTATGCTTACGCCTGACATCTAAAATTTTGCAATCAAATTCTGTTGCCTAGCAAACGTCTGTACTGTATTGGGTGGGGAAGCTACTGATGTACTGCGTAGGGGGACGATGAGGCATAACAATAAGACAAGGCATAGGCCCAGGCCTAACTAGGCAGTGCAATTATATGTGATAGAAAGTACACTTTCGAAAGAAATAAATTAAAATAAGAAAAAAAAAAAAAAAACAAATATAAGAAAAAAAAACCAAAAAAAAAAAAAAAAACAACAAATAACTAAGAGTAACTTGTTTAAGTATTATACAATGCTAACAATGCGGCTCTTGTAGCCCTAGCTAGGCAAGGCATCCATGTGCAAAGCAGTGGCGTTTATTTATCCATGAAAAAAGCACGCCGTGAAAGTTTACCTTACCAGGAAAAGGTGACGTAATCTAGCTTATGACGTATGCATGCTTACCATATTGTGGGTGCGACGTCACCAAAAAATGAATATTTTTTATTATAACCAAAATATTAATAACTACAAGTTTTCTGGGCGTAAATTCTCTCAAAACGAATTATTGCCATACAAATTACAGCTCCCACTAACGTCTCAGTCGAGAAATACAGGAAGCTGAAGTTTTTCTCGAAAATCTGACTGAAACCATATCGAAATTTCACGTTCCACTTTTGACCCTGGGTTGTGCTTCGCACTCGCCACTGAGTGCGGCGTTCCGGGAACCCTGCGCCTAGAGCCATCGGAGCATGTAATAATTTTCTTTTGTAGGAAAAATATGACTGAAGTGGGACAGTAACATAATTCATACAACCCCAAGTTTAACCGATTTCCGACGCCTATCACCGAGCGCGATATTGTATATCCTATGAATAATTTAAAACCAACTACAATTATGGATTGTGGGGTGCTTATATTGGAGTTTACCAATCAGGTATAAAGTAAGACTAATTTAGAATATAAATAGGCTCTATCTGAAGTTCGTTTTATCGAATATCATACGGCTAAAGGAATATTGTTATGGTGCATCTGCTTGCCTTATAGTCCCAAAGATATGGGTTCAAACCCTGTCACAGCAGGTGTTTTTTTTATCAAGACCAAAAAAATAAAGTCGCTAAATATTTTATGCTGTAATTAGCGACTTACGTAGTTGTAGGAAGTGAAGGAAATTTAAAAAAAATCTAACAATGCTATTTTTAAACGAAGACAGCGATTTAAAAAATGTCCTGGAAATTAAATTTCTTATTGGGCTGGTGCTGTCGCAGTCATTCCAAGATACAGGTACATTTAGTTAAACGATACGCTATACACATCTACGTCTTCTTGCTAATGTTGTCACCACAAGCCAGATGTCAAAACATTTCATATATTCGGATATGTTTTTATAGTCTTTTGAGAAAGGCTTCCAATGTTTCATGTAAAATGTTGGATTTTATGAAGTAAATAGAGTCCCCGGTACTTTCAAATGGAGAGTACACAAATATTTAAAAAAGAAGAGGCTAAAAATTATACAAGCTCACATCGGTATATTACGCTTAATCATGTTTATCTCATTGCTGGCCTCATATCCATAGACATCGGAATGCTGTGGCAGCGCATAAGGAAGCATGTATTTACTTGTGTAGAAAACAAATTATGGATGAAAATGGTGGAACAGTCAACAGATTGTTTGGATTACACAGCATATTCACCAATTCCATCATTTCCGCCAAAAAAAAAAAAAAAAAAAAAAATCCGCTTTCTCAACCTCCTCTACAATAAACAATCATAATAGTCTGTTTGTAGATTTTGATAATTTAAACTCCATAAAACGGATACCTCATCACATCATAGTCGCAACTGACGTGAGTGAACACTTGTTTGACAGTTGAGTACCTACAGAAAGTGAATATTTAATTGTATTTTGAAGATTTTGGGTGGGGTTTGTGGTGAGGTAATTTATTCCAGTAAGTTATTTTTCAAGGAAAATATCTATTTTCATATGTTAATGTTTCAACTGGCATTCGGAAGTAGCTATATCTGTGGTATCTTTAGTTTTACGCGTTTTATTTTTTTATTTTTTTTTTTGGTGAGGGGCGCCCCCCCCCCCCCCCCCCACCGACTGTGGGTAATATGATGCATCTTGTGAGTCTGGCGATAACCGGCGGCTGTTAGGCCTTAGTTGTTGTGTTAGTACCTTAAGTTGTGGGAGTTCTGGTCTTCCGGACGTGTGATGATACTGATATAGAATTTTCCGTGGTTTATAAGGTTAGGAATTCGGTACTGAAGCTTTAAGGGAGTGAAGCCAACATATTGTCAGTAAGCAAGATTCACTCCTTCCCAAGCTGTTTCAATTATAATTACTTTTCGGTATGTTGTGTTTTAATTATTCTTTAGACACAGACTTAGGCACTATCTAGTCTTACTCTTTGCTTGGGGTCCTCGATCAGCTTCAATGTGAAAGTTATATTTAAGATTAATAGATAGAGGGCGCTATCTCTACTATTGTAAATATGATTTGTCTGATATTATTATAGCACCATCACTCTTTATTGTTATTGTTCACAGAATCTCGCTTGGACAAAATAAAGGAATTTGTTGAAGTTCAGTACATCCTATTGTCAGTTGTTAAGTGTGAATAAGTGACCACTCCTCCCAGGACAGTACATCTTTAAGGCTGAGTCGTGCTGCTTTTCTTTGAACTATCTAGTAAATGATTCTAACAGCTCTTTGTATTCAATCTATGGTCTTTCTATTTGAAATTATTTGTAAATTTGACTCCTAATAAGTGCGAGTTTATAGCTTCAGTGCGCCATTGTGTAATTGTTATTCTGAGGGTGCACTAAAACCACTTATTAGTAAAAAGCATGGTCATGGTTTTTTTCTTTATGAATTTCACTTGACATTTTGAGGCCCAGGCTGATAGGACATTTTAGTAAGATTCGAATGTCATGGTTTTATTCATGTATGAAATCTCACAATATACAAGTGCATCATCACCAAAAAGCCTTATTTTCGCATTCCTGCTGACAAAATAATTTAATAAATGGCCAATAACTGGGCCGTTTGGGAAACCAGAGAAAACATCACCCATTAAGATCGACGCATTGCTTACGTGAAGTTCAAACTGTTTCAGTGTATTTTAGAGCTTTCCTCCTAACACAATAGGCCAGTATTCAAATATCTTGAGAAGGCGTCTATGTGACATTCAGTCAGAGGCCTTAGATAAGTCCAAAAATATAACATCTATTTTGTATATTATAATTAAATGGTTTGGCTAAGTCGAGACACTTTGTTTCTTATGCTAGTGCCCTTGGCGAGTTGGGACTGGAAACCGTGTCGGGTTGCAGGGGTGCACTATGTGCTGAATTTGCTAAAAGTCCTTATCTCTTTAAGATTCAATAAATGGTTTTCTATATCTAAAAGTAGTACAGTACTTCACTCTCTCTTAGAAAATCGAATAAATTCCAACATCATAATTGTAAAACAAAGAGATTTAAAAATAGCCCAATCCCATATTTAACCAAATTACTTAAAAATAATAATCATTGCTTGTATTGCAAACATTTAATTTAAAACTCTCCAGCATTGTGTATCTCTTGTTCATCCATTTCCTTTTTTTTTATTTATTTAATTTTTCACCCCAAGTCTTGCCAATAATTCAATAATTTAAATAATAATTTAATAAATAAATTTTGTTATAAGTTAATTAATTACAAACAATAACTATTGGATAAGTGGAAATAATTTGGTGTAATAAGACATTATTATATAAGGGTAGTTTAATACACTTGGGTAGTGCAATCAGGTAGTAGTTTCTTCATGTGACATGATTTTAGCTGTTTAAACGTTGTCTTTAACTGTAATGTTTTTCTTTTCTTTTTTTGTGTAAATTGGTGTTTTAATTCTTTTGCAATGTGAGCCTAAAATTATTTCTGCAATTCAGTTTCGGCAGCCATTAAATGATTTAAAATGTGTTTAATATTTTCGAAATTAAGATACCGTTTATATATTTTTAATGTAAAGTAATGTAGTTAGATTTATATAGCGCTTTATACCGAAGTCTCGAAGCGCTTAAGGAGTTGACTACCTCGCACAGTAACTTGCTTCTCCCCTAAGGGTCTCTTCACGTCTGAACTACCCGGTCAGCTACTCTCGTCTGTCCACAACAAGGGTTGTATGGACCAGTACACCGAAGTAACCCCTATTTGTCTCAAAAGATGTACTGGGTTCTTGAAGTGCACTTGAGCCTACGGGTCTACGGTTACTAGTCCTTATCCGAGAAGACTTGTTTCTCCACCAGAACCATAGGCGAGCGTTCCGTTCGAACCAGCGCCCATTGGGTTTCGCAACCCCTTTGTTTACTAAATCCATGTTGCAAACATAACTTGTCAAGAGGACTGATGATGTGACAGCACTGAACTTGTTTCATGGTTTTGCAAAGAGTAGAGTTGAGGGTAATTGGACCATATCATTACTCTTCAACTTTTAATATTCATGCAGGTTTTATTTTAAGTAAAGAAGCAATTAATAACACATATCTCTGATTTGAATTCTCTTTCCTTTACGCCCCATAACCATTAAAACTACAATTTTAACTAATCAAATCGTTAATAATTATAAACATAAATTATTAATTAAATACAGTTAAATCATCTTCATAATCAAATGACAAAGCTAATCAACTTTTCATTAGATTAGGCAGCATAAATTACAATTATTGCCAATTCATGAAATTGAAAAGGCTCCCATTACCAATATTGTCCAGTATATAGATAATTTAACAGAGCAAGCACTCAATATAAGAGGCCACTAAATCTAAATAACTAAACATTTAAGTACAGCTAAATCGTCTTCATAATCAAATGACACAGCTAATAAAATATTATTACTTTTCATTAGACTAGACAGCAAAAAAAAAATGATTGTTGCGAACTCATAAAATGTCCAAGGCACCCACCACCTAAAATAATTGTCCAGCATAACAGAGCAAGCACAAAATATTAGATGCCATTAAAAGCAAATAAATATTTAGGCAAAATTTAAAGTTTCATGTTTTATTTAAAGACACATTTTAATGATGTCATTACTATATCTTCCAAGTTTTTTTCCTGTTCTTCATGTCGTCCATATTGTTTGCAGTTATAGTTCACATCTCATCTATGTTCGTTTCCAATTGTTGATACATTAACCTTTTCCTGTTAGTTGCTCGGCTCTTGATCCAAAAGGCACATCCTACCACCAGGACCACCAGACTTACAACAAATAGCGGTGTCGAAGAAATTGTTAGTGATGTGTCCTTTGCATGCGAATCTAGATATTTAAAAAAAAAATGAATGTTTTTATTTAATCACTCTACACCAGGCCTAGCCTGGAGTGTTGGGCGTGGGGCTAGCTACCCTTCACTGTAAACAAGTATATGCTACAGAAACATCGATGAAAAAGAGGACGTCCAAAAATCACCTGGCGATGACACCTACACGCAGACATTAGGAGGACGGGCTATAATAGAGAGAACTGGAGGTGAAAGCCAAGGAAAGAGGACTCTGGAAAGAAATCATTGGCAGCCTATACCTCTCGGTGTGACGGGCCTAATAAGTAAGTCCCAGGCCTAGCCCGCTCAAGATTGATGAATTAAGCTAATTAAAAGAAAGTGTGGAAGTGTTAGAAGGTTTAAAAAACAAAAACAAAAAACAAAACGGGAAAACAATTGACTGACAATGATTTCCAAATGCTCAAAGTGGAGCCAGTAAATTGAAAAATACAGACCTAGAAGTTTAGTTTTTGGAGGTTTCAAGAATTCATTAATGACACTACAAAGCACTGAGGTATCTATTCCAAGAAATTTAGTAAGAGACGGTATACATTCGAGTTCCGTTTTATCTGTGTTAGTAATGGATTTTGATAGGATGTTTCAGAAATGGGTCCTCGCCAAAGAAATACATACAAAATGAAGATAATTATCAAAGTATATACAAATATAGGAATAAATAAATATTTTAAAAACCCGATTATAACAAATCGATAATCATTATCAACAAGTTTGGATATTACAACATATTAGTTTAAATACCAAAAAAGAGAGAAAACTTTATAGAAAAATAATTAACATTTATAAACATAATTTAATTTATTTATTATATTTACAGTACATTACATAATTATTCAATAAATTATTCATAATAATTTTGTTTTTTATATTAATTTTATTAGAAAAAATATACATATAAAACCATTTGGGCAACAAATTAAATAGAATGTATACATAATTATAAAAAAATACATAATTACAAAAATACTAATAAGCGGTATTGGTACTGACAATTATGAAAAATGCACTTACATATCAAACGTTTTACAGTACCATTTTTTCAAGCAATTTTTTTTGGTTATATATTTTGCTTTAAAGTCTGATGCACAATCAGATTCGTCAGTTCTGATTGGTCAGTTAAGCCTGGTTTCCTGTCGACGTAAAGTTCAGAATTTCTTACGATTCAT